GGGGGGGGGGGGGGGGGGGGGGGGGGGGAGGGGAGGAAAGGAGGTTAATTCCGTCGATGGACAGCCAGTACCTCTACAGATATTCATATTTTTTGGTGGTAAACTGGTACTGGTATAGCTAGAGGGAGCCAAACCCGACTCTTAGAAGTAGGGGAGGGAAGGAGGGAGGGGGAAGGAGGGGGAGGGTTACCAACGGTTTGTTGCTGTTGGCATTTGGTACCACTCGAGCTACTTATCAAGTACCTCCACTTCTCACAATGAGCGAATTTTGAAAGAGTGGCTTTTGATTTTGGCATAATTATAATGATATTTGGCAAACTTTGCTTTAGTTATTGTTCACTATAAAAAAAAGTAACAGTTTTGGCCAATAACCTTAATTTTTGACAGCTCATTGTCGAGAATTTTCGTTTTCATGCACGATTTTAGCAAAGTTGGCGTAAAAAATTTTTTTAAATTTCTCATATTGAAGCTAATTTTGCTGAGTTTTTTTTTTTTTTTTTTGATGATTTCGCTGTTTGTTTTTAGATGATGCCGAATCTCACTTATCTTGATGGCTATGACAAAAACGAGGATGCCGAAACGGATGACGAGGTTGTGGAGAATGAGGAGGAATACGAAACTTCGAGTGGAGAAGAGGAAGAAATTGGTGAGGAGGAGGATTCTGAGGAGGATGAGGACGAGGATGAGGCTGAGGGTGAGGAGTGTGGCTTAGAATATCTGCAGAGCTCCACAGTTATGCAGGTTTGTTTCTCCTGTGTTATTTTCGTTCATTCTCCCCGATTTTGAAGTTTACGCGGATCTTAGTGAAAACTTAGCTTCACGTTTTTTTGACTTTATGATATAGAAAGGTATATTAACAACAGATGAGATAAGAAGGATCAAAAAGGAAGGTGGGAGATGAGAATTACGAAATTTGTAAATTTTAATAGGATTATTTTAATGGTAAGAAATGTTTCGGTCCATTAAATCATATACATAATGTAGATCATATCGTTTTGTGAGAGGCTTAAGAGCCCTCCATTAGTCGGTCTGGAAAATATTGGCACCTCATCATGGGGAATGTTTTTATTGAACAGATGTCTTCTCGAACAGATTAAAAAAAAACTTGAAATTACCTCGTTGACATTGCATTTTCTATGACTTATTCTCCTCGAATAAGTGCAAAGCAGTGGAAAGGGCAGTGGACATGTTATTTCTAGGAAAAACTAAGTAGCAAAGATTAGCCAACGATGGTACAAAAGAAAATAGGCCTCCTTTTTTGATGGTACGAAGTAGGCATCGTTTTTCGTTGAGATTATTTTTAATGGGTGGAAGCGGAGAAGGGGGAACAAAAAAAGGATGGAGGGAGGAGGGGCGGGGGAGGAGAGGGAAGGGGACAGCTTTTACCACGTACTTATTTAAGATAGAGTGTAAATCATGTTAGAAAAATGTAGAAATAGATCATAGGAAAGATCAAAAAAGAGTAAAAGAGGGGAAAATGTAAAAGTTGATTATCGCTGAGGGAGAAAGGGGGCAAGAGGGAAGCGGGGGAGAAGGGGGGAGGGGGAGGGGAAAGGCAAGGGGTGAAGAAGGACAGATACTTTTATGCGAATAATTTTTATATATGGTTCTTTGCAATAGCGAGTGCCAATTTTGAGGATGAAGATGAAACGGAAGATTACAAAGCTGATGAAAGTGGCGAAGAAAAGAAGGCCGAGGAAGGAGGTGAGCCACGGGGCACGAAACGAAAACATGAGGGGGAAGGCGATGGCGATGTGAAAACAACGCAGAAGGCGAAACGACAGGAATAATTTGTGTTCCCACGATGGCATTAACCCCCCTGGGGATGGCAACGGCATCTCTTTTTTTTTAATTTTTACAAAAAAATGCAGAAAAAAAACATGGCTTTTTTATGTTAAAAAACTAGGGCGAAAAATTTTTGATTTTTTTTTT